TAACACTATGAGCTATTCAGCCTATACAGAATTATAAAGCCTAAACATGCTTTACTAGGGGTTCAGTAAGAGCAAAATGCAGCACTGAATCAATTTTATCTGGAATAGTGTGGAAGGAGGGAGAGTTCCTTTCCTATTTTGAGAGCAACATCTATGCTACACATGCAGAGCCAAAGACTTCTAATCCAGCAGGCTGAATACATACTAGTTATTCAAACTCAAGAACATGTGCATAAAAGGAATTTCATAATTAGTCTCTGTTGCCCTCCTCAGTTTATGTTTTCTGTAAAGTTCTCACTCCAATGTTGCTACATTACACAGTCAGACTCATCCATTTGCCTCCCACATTACCTTCAGTAATGTAAAAACATTAGACAAGCGGGCAGGGATATATAAAAAGAAACTATCTGTACAGCTACTGATCTATCATTTAGTCAACAGGCTCAATTCATAGATCATTTTAGTAAAGCAAAAATCAAGTGAAGCAGAATGAAAATGGGTAATGCTATTTCAATCTCAATACTAGAAAATATGTCAATTTTCTGCTAAACTAATGTAATGGAACACACTTCTACTATGATTTTATGAAGAATTTTTTAATATTATTTTAGCAGACCATCACTCTGGCTAGTGTGCAAAAATATCTTAGAAAAAAATTACATTTATTCTCAACTAATGAAAACTTCTGCACATCTCTACTTTTGTATCTTTATTTGCTAAACAAATGACAGTTTATATCTTCAGCTTGAAAGCAAACTAGTGCAAATGTATCTGCGAAGGTCTGTGCAAGGAACTGACCCTAGTTTATGAGGAACAGTGTGAAACTCAGAAGGTACAGGGAAAAATTAGTCCCAAAAACACACTTAAGAGAGAAGCTGGATAAATCACTGGAAACATAAATATCATACTGTAACCAGGAAAGAGCAGAGATAACTAAATTCCCCTCAAAGAAGAACCTTGTTTCAGGAGTTCCTTTCATACCTTCCAGTTTCAGACAGTGAAAGCACAGAAAAGCAGCACTATGGGAACTTGGGAACGTCCCTACTGAGTCCCTGTGGCCCCACCGGAAACCTCCCATCACTGAAACAACACTCTTTCCCCTCTTTCCTGGCCTGCCCAATTATTAATTTTGGTGGGGTTTTTTTTCAGCTGCTGGAGCATTTCATAGGGACACAACATGGAAGGCTGCCAGCCTCCCCAGAGCCAGCTCCGAGTAGGACACTCTTGGCTCAGCAGCAGACCACACAGCGCAGCAGAAAGAAACACAGGGCCTTGCACTCAGGCCCATCTTCACTCTTGCCCTCCATACACCCACCCTACATGCAGGTTTGCTCTGAGCCCTGAGCAGTAATTCACTGGTGCCCAACACCATCTCCGCTGGAGACCACCGTACCTGCCAGCAGGCTGTACCCATGGGCAAACCAAGAACTGCTCAGGTTAAAACTAGGCAAATCTAAAGTTAAGATGCCAAACTTGACCATTAATATATATTTTTTGTTTCATTCAGGTGTTACAGGAACTTACATAGTAACTATAATAAAGATTTGCTATTTGGAGCTGACAAGACAACACCAATGCAAAGATCAGACACAATGGAGCAGAGAAGTGGTGATACGAGCTGCCCTGTTGCCACGCCTGTCCTCAGCAGGAATACTGCAGGAGCACAGGGCATCCCAGCCTCCTCCCTTGCTCTAGAGGCAGTTTGATCTCCACTGACTGTAGTAATGGGGTGAGGATACCACAATAGTGATAAATTCCTGGGGATAGTGTCCCCCAAGTAACAGCTACTGAACTTAGTGTTTGCTTTACCTTCTTGCACCCTGGTCTTCAGTCAATAGCTTTAGTCCAGAACGACATCCTGACACATACCACCAGGCCAGCCATCACCCCTGGCTTTTGATATGCACAGAAAGTAGAGGCCATGTATGCAACTGGCAGCCCTAAAGGATGATATGCTAGCCTTTGTTTAAGAGGGGGATACAAATAAACCACAGAAATATTAGTGATACTGATATGGTATTTAAAATATTCTACAGAAATCCTCCATGTCAGAATGCTCATTCTGGAAGCAATCCCTAAGGAATTGTAGGGAAAGTGAATGTACCATTTGACACATTAGGGACACACTTTCTTTCCTATTACTAAGAAAACCAGCTTCTTGAAAATTCTAAAATAATCAAGGATGTAGCATTACACAACCATGCAAAAAGTACTACAAGATTGCAAGAAGCATTTAGTCACTATCATAACAACAAATCCATAGGGGCAGATTCACTGGAGTCACAGACCAAACCCGTGTTTCTTTCAAAAGTTGAAAAAAAAAAATAGAAAAGAAAAAAGAAGGGATGTGTCAATCCTTCCACACCTCATCCTTTGACAGTAACTACTCCATGCCATCTGGCTATTAAGGACTGTCAGCAGTTGAAGAATATCCATGATGCTTTCCTGACTGCTTCTACAGAAAGGAAAAAGAAAAAAAAATGTCCTAGAAAATTCAGCTGACATACTACAAAGTGAAAGTTATCATCTTGCTGCCTCCTTTTTCTTGGGGGGAAAAAATGCTTCAGCTGTACTTACTGTATTTCTTAGCAAAAGTGTATTTCAACAACAGTGAATATTGCTGAATCGGTGTGAGGATTATGGCACTGAACTTTAAAAACCCAGGTGATGGAGCAAAGCCCTCACCCTGCACACACTTCTTGCTGCCCAACGCGCTGGAGCAGAGCTCACTTGAAGATAAATGCAAGTAACTGCAATCAACATCTAGCTTGGCTGTTTAACATTTCTTACGAAGACCGAGAAGAGAGCCTGAATTTAGCCCCTGAGGGCTTTCAGAAGGCCTACGTGAATCTTTTATCTGACAGGTAGAAGAGCGACTGGCCCATCTCACATCCAGTTTCCAGTGACTCCGTAGGATTTCACTTATCCTGTGAGCAGAAGCACAGAGCTCGCAGGGCAGAGTGGATTTGCCAAGGAAGGTGCACAGGCACATGGCAAATCCAACCACAACTCCTCCCACGAGCTAAGGGCTGGCACCCCGCCGGGCTGACTTGGGATATAGAGCTCATAGCGAAATCCATTTAACACATTCCTGCACAGCTTCTGCCGATACCAACCCTATGGCCAGACCAAGCTAAAAGAAAACACCCCTGTCCAGCCAGCTGTCTTTGCTAGAAGAAGAGCATACATTTTCACAGAAACAAAGATAAGTGAGCTCACTATCTTCTACAGAAGTTTTTCTGGCATGATTTTGTTCCATTACATCTGCTTGGGTAGCTAACAAAAGCAGAGCTATTGGAGCAAGAATGTGCTCAGGTATCTTTATACAACATGTAACATTTTTAAACGCTTGTTTTGTTTTTCTGGACCTTTCCATATATATTAAACCAAACAGCATTTTGAAGCTACCAGCTGTAGCACAGGAACTGACACATTCTCTGCTCCTTTTATGTATTTGTTAATTTTAAAGGGGACTTTTAAATTGTTTATTAAGATTTACTAAAGCACTACTGTATTAAACAAGCATAACGAGTGGAACTTACAACTCAAATATTTCTCATAGATTCCATCCTCAAAATATTAATAAGCATACTCAGTAAATGCAAGATTTACTTGTGACTATCACTATTCTTTGTATCTTTTGTCATTAAAAATGAAAGCTAAAAATACATCTACACCTCCCTGCTGCATACTTCACTCCACATTCAAGCAGAAACTCCCAGACAACCAACATAAACAACTCTGATGAATGTTTCAATCTCCAATGGGCAGAGGGATGAACACCATAAAAAGAAATTAAGACTCACTATTTTTCCACCTCCCCTCAAAACACAAGAGTCTAAACCAACTCCTGTTTGGTCGGTTGTGACTTTGTAAACTCTGTATCTACCAAACCACACACTGCCAGGAATAGCATAAATCTCAGAGCAAGGATTACAAAATCATTCTGGGGTTTTGGTTGGGGTTTTCTCTTTTAAGAGCCCCAACACACATCCTTGCAAAGAGAAACAGTTCAATCTGCTTTTAGTTTTCAAAACTAACACAGATCTATTTATTCTGCTGCGTATACACCGAATGTTTGAACAAAAAAAATTAGTCGTAGGTCAGACAATACAGCTCGCTATCACTACACCCTTCATTTGAAGGAAAACCAAATAAATCGGTTTTATGTTTCAACCAGCTGAAACGACGGTAAAGGAAAGCAAATTCTCCTGGGTTTCCCTTTCTAAAAAAAAAAATAAAATAAAAATAATCTTATAAAATAATATTTTTTAAAATCACGGCTTCTCATCTGACATGTAACCAAATGTTTTTTTGGCCGCTGAAAAATCCTGCCATTGGTCAGGCTCGGCAGTAAGCACATCCCATACACCTGGTGATGCGCGCTCAGCCCCGCATCCCGGGCCGGGGTGGGGGTGGGGAGGACAAAGTCGGGAGCGAGGATCTGTCAGGCCGCGTCCCGGCGCCAGCTCCGGCCCGGGAGCTCAGGCGAGAGCGATGCCAGGTTAACAATTTGCAATTTGCCTCCCTCCTGGACTCCGCGTCAGCCCTCCATTTTGTCAGCCGCCTCAATTTAAACGTTTCCCAAGTCGACGGCAGAACTTCAGCATTTCTTCGGGAGCCCTCCAGGGCTTTAAAGCATCCCCAACCATTTTGCGCAGCCCGCTCGGAGCCAGCGCTCCGGGCGAAGTTTAGCAGGGCACCCGCGCACGCCGCGGCTCTCGGGCAGCGCCGAGCACCCCGCGGGGCAGCCCGCGGGCTCTTTCCCATCGCCTCTCCCGGCGGCGCCTCCTCCCGCCCCGCGCTCCGACGGCGCCCGGCTTCCTTCCACGCACGGGGAGAGGCAGGTGGATATCGGGAGGAGGGCAAGGAAGGGACGGGAGGTAAGAGCCGCCACGGGCAGCAGGGTGCCGGCAGCAGGTAGGGAGGGCAGCGCGGGGCGGCCGCCGGTGCCGTGCGGTGCCTGTGCCGTTCCCCCTCCCTCCAGCCCCCGTTCTTACCACCTGCGGAGGCGGCCGGAGCCTGCCCGGGCCGGGGCAGCGACCTGTCCACTGCGGGCACTCTCCTCCGGAGGTGAGGGGGCGGCGGGGAAGGGCATGCGGGAGGAGGGCGCCCGCCTCTCCCTCACCTCCCTCCCCCCTCCTCCTCCTCTCCGCCCAGTCCGGCCCGGCCCCCCCGCGCTCCTCGCCCCCCTCCCGGCTTGGTTTCCACGGGGTGGCCCCGGGCCGGGGTCCACTGCGCTGCTCCGGCACTTACTATGTCGCCCCTGTCAGTCTGTCATCCTGTCCCCTCCACAAGCATAAAAGCAATTCCCCGCTAGCCTCGACGCTGCCGCCCGAAACAACTTTTGTCTCCTTCCAGTGGATGGGAAAGCTCTTCTTTTTCCTTCTTCAATAAGGGGGGGTGGGAGGAACCCAAACAAAAAACCCTCCCAAAAGGCAAAAACCAAGCTCCAGCAATTTTAAAAATTAGAAAAGAAAAAATATATTCGGGTTTGGTTTATTTTTTTAATACTGGGAAGCGTGAAGGTGAGACGGAAGAGGAGCAGAAAAAGGAAACGTTTGGAGCTCTCTTTTCTCTCTCCTTCCCCCCTCCCTCCCAAGATGGCTTGAAAAAATTAAAAGGGGATAGTGATGAGGCGGGGGACACACACCGAAAAGCTCGGGAGGAGGAAAAAAGTTTGGGTGAGTTGGGGTTTTTTGTTTGTGTGTTTGGTCTTTTTGTTTGGTTGGGTTTTTTTGGGTTTCTTTAAGCCTTAGAAGCCCAGAATGACCGAAACGACGACAAACACCCGGGAAGCGCAGGCACAAGGAGAGGAACAACCGAGAGAAAAAGAGTTTTGCTGGTCAGTAAACTTCAAGCTGCTGCGATGAGGTCATTGGTGTAAATATAAAGCGATGGCGTCATTTGAAACCAATCCCAGTGAATGAACTCAGCCGGGGGGGGGTGGTGAAGGTGGGGGGAGAGGGTGAAGGAGAAAGAGGAGGAGCAGCGAGCGAGGATCCCTGCGGGGCAGCGGCGGCCGTGCAGCCCCGGCGGCGCGAGGCGATGGCGGGGGGGGGGGGGGGGGGG